TTTTCTTTTGTTAATATGTAATTAAAGAGCCAGCTATAAAGTACAGGGTATATACAGGATGTGCCTACCTGAAAATACCTATTCATTTAAGAATTTTAGAATTTTCTGACTGTTATTGTCTAAATGATATCTTGTCTTCTTGTTGAGAGACTCTAGGCTCTTTCAGGAGCAAGACTGCATTTTTTGCAGGATCCCTACATTATCTGCATCATCTGAAGATAAGTCCCTGAAAATTCATACTTCAAGGCATTTTGGTAGCATTCCTATATAATTTGGAAAGAACTTAAATGTTCTTTGAATGGCAATCTCAGTATGTCAGGGATACTGAAGGAAGGAGAAACAAAATAATTATGAAAAAATAAACACTATAACTAAGAGTTAGCCAGGGCTAGACTAGGAAAACCAAAATGGCCATTTAAATACAATAATTTATTTCAAAAGTAACAAATGGAATACTCTGTTAAATCATTTCCCCCAAAACACAAGCTGTATCTCCTGCCCTTGACACAGGAATATGAATACAAAAGGCTGAAAAGTAACAGGAAGTTCAGGGGATCTCTCTACCACTCCCCTTCTCTCTGATAATCAGAGGATGCTGATGGAACAAATACATCATCTAATATGATCCCAGAGCCACCCCCAGAAGGGCCCCTAAGAAATGGTAATCATTCCTAGCATGAGCCACCATGGGGCTGCAGAAACCACGTGGAACATCTTCTGCTTTGGAACACTGTTCATCAGAAAACACCAAAGAGGGCTGGGGATGTAGCTCAGTGGTACAGCACTTCTCTAGCATGCACAAGCCCTGGATTTGATCCCTAGCACTATGAAGAGGAAAGAAGGAAGGAGGAAAGAGAGGGAGGGAGAGAGGGAAAAAGAAAAATAAGCACCAAAGAAACCCTAAGGATCAAAACTCTTCAACAAGCACCAAATAGTCTTAGAAATTAGTATAAGCTTTCAATTATACACAGGTAAATTCTTTATCTAGGTAATCTCATTACTGTTTGGTTCACTGACACTTTAGACAGGAAACATCAGTGCTGCTTGGTCCCTGACATAATTTTCCCTACCTGCATAGCAATTTTTATTTATTTTTTTGTGGTTCTGGAACCAAACCCAGGGCCTCATGCATGCTATGCAAGCACTCTACTACTTGAGCCATGCCTCCAGTACCTTTTGTTTTTGGTTATTTTTCAGACAGGGTCTCACTTTTTGCCCTGGCCACTCTGAGGCCATGATCCTATACCTCACCCATCACTGGGATTTATAGGCATGCCCCATTATACTTGGCTTGTTGACATAGGGTCTTACTAACTTTTTGCCTGGCTGGCCTCCAACTGCAATTCTTCTGATCTCTATCTCCTGAGTAGCTGGGATATAGGTAGTTGCCTGGCTCTCATAAGTAGTTTTGAAGGGTTACATGATATGTCACTGAATATATGAACCAGCTTTCATATCTCTAGTATTAAACATTAATGTCATTTTCATTTTTTTGTTATAAATTATATAGGTTAAGAAATTATGGTCCAGGTTACATTATTGGCCTAAAGTTATCAGTCTAAGCAAAAATATAATTGTAAATAATAAAGATTTTAAGGTTATAAAGTGATACGGTAAATCTCCATGCCAGATTTTGGGGTTATCTATTCTCACAAGAAGTTGAGAGTTGACAGTCTGGGAGAAACAGTTATTCTAACAGTTATGCCAGAAAGGGAGTATGCACTCAGTTATCAGTTCCCATTTTTTCAGTCTTTACCCCTAATCCTTCGTTATGGATGAATGACAGAAAACTCTTCTGAAGCAGTTCCTGGGAATGGCTTTGAGAGGTGGTAGGGAGAGTGAGGTATGTCCCCAGCAATTCTGAGACCATCCTGAATTCCAAAGAGTATGTATTTTATCACTGACTACCTTGAGAATTGACAGCATCTAGCACAAAGGCACCACCTGAAACTCTCTTAAGAACAGGAACTCTACAAGTATGCAGGAACATTCGTTACTTCCCTCTCAGCATTCAATCCCTATTTTCTAAGTGTTTCTCACCAACAGAGAGAAAATTATCATTTCCTATGTCTTGGTTTGATAAGATGGTACTTTAAAGAGCTCACTTCTGACCAAATGTCAAATTCCTAAGTGTGAGGAGTGTAAGGAAGTCTTACAACTTCCATGCTTTTCTCAGTATCTCTTATTCTGACTGTTATGACTCAAAGCCTATTGCAAGTATCTTTCATTCCCACTTTTCAAAACACATGACCTCTAAATTTGCAAGTAAATTTGGACTTTTAGACTTCAAATATTACTTTTTTGGGGGAGGAGGTACTAGGGACTGAACTTAGGGCCTCACACATACTAGGCAAATACTTTACCACTGAGCCACATCCTCAGCTTTAGGATTACCTTTTAAGTTTACTAATACAAAACTGCTACTTTTGCATGTAAGAGAAGTAATATCTCTTTATTGTGCTATATGCAAATCCTCAAAAATGCCAAAATCTCCAATTCAATTTTTTATGAAAAGTTTTCCAGATCCAATTGTGTATCTGTCATAATCAGACCCCTGATTCTAGCATGCATTTCAAGCACCAGAAAGTCACTTCTCCTATGTCTAAGTTAAAGGTATGTATTTGATGCCTGGGTTGTTTGTCTGTTTTTCTTATACTGGGGTTTGAACTCAAGATCTTGACTTGCTAGACAGGTACTTTACCACTTGAGCCATGCCCCCCAGCCCAAATATCAAAGCTTTTTTTTTTTAGTGGTACTAGAGTTTGAACTCAAGGCCTCAATCTTACTAGTCAGACACTCTACCCCTTGAGCCACATCGCCAGCTGATTCCTGTGTTTTCTGAACACCAACTTATAACTCATTTTTTTAGATCAGAGAACATTGCATGTCATCTTCATTTCTCTTATAGTAAAAGAAACTAGAAAATCAGTTCAGTGAAAGTAGATTCTGTTAGCATAACTGATTTATCTGGTAAGCTTTCCTCATGGTTGGCCTGTCAAATACTGTTGATTACTTTATTACAGACCATACTTGATAACTGCCCTCAGTTGCTCCCCAAATGGAGTGGATGCTAAGTAATTATTTGTCAAAGGTTTCATTGTCATAGCAACTTAGAAACACTTTGAGAGTCCTCTCTAAGTCTACTCTTCTCCAAAAACAAGTGTCTGATTGTAGACTGCAGAAAATGCACACAAATCCATGAAGCACACTGTAGCCACATTTAAGCAGTACATTTTCCAACAACTCACTCAGGGAAGTATTTGTGTTGACTTTCAAACACACTCCCAGGTTTGGGGATTTAGCTCAGTGGAAGAGCGCTTGCCTGGCAAGTGCAAGGCCCTGAGTTCAGTCCCCAGCACTGGAAAAAAAAAAAAAAAAGGAAAAAATAGAAAAAAAAAAAAAGCAAAACAAACACACTTCCACATCCCATCCAGTTCATCAGAGGACAATTGCTTCCTTCCTTCTTACCTGGATTTTGTTCTCTTGTCTTACTCCCAGTACTGGGCCAGTACAAAAGCAAGGGGGGTGGGGGAGCAAAGGGAGAGGGAAATTTATTTGGGGGAATCCCAAATAAAATGATTGTCATTAAGCCTTTCTAATGGAATTTGGTTAACAGTACTGATTTTCCCCATGTATTACACAGTTTCTGATAATCCCTCATTGTATCTCTTGAGGTACCTATACAAAATAATTCCACAGATGCAAGAAAAGTCAATAAAATGCAGTCACTATATCTATAGTTATCTGATGAACCTAAGTCAAAGCTTTCTTCCTTAAACTTGATTTGACCTATTAATAAATTTTCAATATTTTTCTCATCACTCTGAAAAAAAAAAAAACTTGTGGCAAATACATGATGAAAATCAGTTTTATCAAGCTACCATCAAACTGACATCAATGATTAGAATCAGGGACTACCTTTTAAAAGTCACACTTCTTTTCCCCATATTGCAAAATTTTAAGTTTGAGGGGTGGGTTTTGTTTTTTTTTTCCCATCACTGTCCCACTACTGAATTCTAAAATTCCTAAAGAAATCACAGATCTCAATTTTTTTTCTAATTTTTGAGACAGGGTGTCATCATGTAGCCCAGGCTGGCCTCTGGCTTCTGAGTGTTGGGATTACAGGCATGGACGATAAAGCCCACGTGGAACTTTCTTTGCAAATAAAAATGATAATGGATTAGACCCAGACCAATCATTATACAGGAAAAGCAGGACAACCAGGTTGTTAGAGAATATCTCTCATAAAAGAATCTTGATCTGTAAAATGATGATTCTACCAACAGAACTACCTACTTAAAAATTTCTACCTCTTGGCCTAGACAGAGTCTAAATTCCCAAGCTGGAAAGCAGTAGTGTTCTCTGTAAAAGAGATGTTCTGAAAACTCTTTTTTTCTCTGATGTAGCTTTTTAGAAAGAAATTAATTTCCTTGTCAAGAATAAATTTAACCACGTGCACACCTGTAATCCCAGCTCTGGAGAGGTGGGAGTAGGAGGATCTAAAATTTGAAAGTTCAAGTTCAGGTTCGAGACCCTGTTTCAAAAAACCAAGGGCTGGGAATGTAGCTCAGTGGAACAGCACTTTCCTTGCACGTGCAAGGTGCAGGTTGATCACTAGCACTGAAAAAAAGAATGAATGTAGCTTCCATGTCTCACTTCATATCACGATATCATTTTAAGTGTCTTTCTCTTCTAATTTAAAGGCTGTTCCTTTCACCTGAAGGACCATACACTAAAAGGTCTTCTTTGGAGGCTTTTGTGCCCCATAGATCACCTGGCCTCATGGGTCCTGCCCTTAGCATGATATGGTGGGCACAATGAACATAAATACGATGTTTTATAAGCTTCCTGTTGTTTATCGAATTTAGTTTTTATATTTCCTGTTCTTTAGATTCTGCTGTAGGCTGGAAGGTAAAACTCTTTACAATGACCATCCACAGCCCTCAATTATCTGCCTTCTCTTCCCTCATCATTCAAATGTGATAAAGCCAGGTACCTACCTTCACCTTTTGTCTCCACAAGTCCACCTGCTTCTTTCGGAGCTTCAAAGGTGGCCAGGGCCATTGGAGAAGTGGCCAGAGGGCAGAGCCAACCTAACACTTCTGGTGTGTCCCTTCTTCAACTTGTCACTTTAACACCTGTTTCTTAAATAAATATTTACCCCCTAAAAGTCCCATTTCATTCTGGAAGAGGCTGGACCAAGCTAACCACGAGCCCTTTGTCTGACGCTTTCACACCTCACCCGTCTTCATCCGCAAAGAGCCCATCCTCACACAGGTAGGAGGGTCTGCTCGGCACAGGGTAAGGCAGCTTAGTTTTCCTCATTTATAAAGGGATGGGTTATGTTCGAGGTCGTCCAGGATCCAAAATTTTACAACCAATCGTGCAGGTCCTACTTCTGGGGCGGGGGGGGGGAGAAGCCCAGGGCGACCCTCGTACTTAGCACGCGTGCTGGCAATTAGCACAGTATCCCTCCGGCCAGACTCTTGAGTATCCACGTCTCCGACCTCGGGCCAAGCGGTGGCAAGAGGCCCGGCCGGCGCCCGCTCGCGGCCGCACCATGCCCTCCTTCATTCACCCTCATCCGCCGCCGCGGGCCGCTTCTCACCTGGCTCTCTGGCATCGCCCGTCTTGGGTCGTACTGGAAACCATGGGTCTAGACGGGTCTCGGAGGCCGCTTGTCCTCCTTGAGGGAGGCTGCTGGGGAGGCGCCGACACCGGGAACACGCCGCCTGGTTTCTAAGGAACAGAGGGCTGTGGAAGGGAGGGGGCGGGACAGCGGGAGGACCGCGCATGCTCCGTCACGGGGGGGGCGGATCCGCGCGGGGAGGGGGCCGAGACTAGAAGCTGCGCATGCTCCTTTGCTGGGGGCGGAGCTTAAGTAGCTCGGCCGGGAGGCTTTGGTACTTCCTTTCTAGGGACTAAGGCAGCTGTGCAGTTATGATCTAGATTTGGTTTTTCTCGGGTCTGCTACTGCTGTCATTAACCTTAAGGTCTAGGGAATTGTAGTTTTTCTGGAATGAAGAAAGGCCTCGTGTTGGACAACGACCTATCTTTGTCTATCAGACTGGTTGGGAGTTCCTAGATTCCTGGCTCCTAATGATTTGCCTTCTTGTTTCTCAGGTGCCTGTTTGGGCCTCTCTTCTCTGGATGTTCGTTGTTCTCTAAATGTCAGTGCTGTTCTAGACTGTGATCCCAGTTCCCTTTACTGGAGCCTGTGTTCTCTCAAGTAAATACATTTTGTAACAAAGCCACTCTTTGGTCTGCTACAGAGTAGTGAAGCTGGTAGGCCTTAGTGGGAAACTGGCTCTGTAGAAAATGGGAATTACTTCTGCATGGGAAGCCTTCTCCCCTACTTGTTTGACTCTGGGACTCTACTCAGCTGCATCAGGAGGACCTTTCAGCCATTATTCCAGGGCCGCCTGAGATGACAGAACATGCTGGCGTCGCACCCTGGGGCAGCTTTGTCTGTGATCTGTTGTCCAGCTTCAGGGCTGTCCCTGTTTTGGGCTGAGAAGACAGGACTTCCTACCACTGCCACCATGTCTGTGAGCATGAGAAGCTTCTAGAGTGAAATTTGTAACCTCTAATCCCTCTCTTAGGAAGGGGTTTTATCCCTTGCCTTCTCGCCTGAATGGAGAACATCCAGACACAAAGGAGGGAGAATCACTGCCCCAGAGATTGTCATAGTCATTGTTTTTGTTGTTGTTTTTGGCGGTACTGGGGCTCAGACTCATGGCCCTTTTTTGTGAGGGTTTTTTGTTTTTGAAATAGGATCTCATGAACTACTTTCCAGGGCTGACTTCAAACTGTTCCTCCTGATCTTTGCCTGCTGAGTAACTAGGATTACAGGCTCAATCCACAGGTGCCCAGCTTGTCATAGTCATTGTTAACTCTTCTTGAGCAGGGTTTCTGAACAGCTGCCCTGTTGACATTTTGGACCTGATAATTTTTTGTTGGGCAAGAGTGGGGAGACCTGTTTGCACTATAGAATGTTTAGAAGCTTCCCTGGCCTCTACCAGTTAGGTACCAAAAGCTGTGACTACCAAAAATATCTTACAACCTTGCCAAATGTTCCCTGGGAGTAGAGAGAGCAAAATAATTCCCTGCAGAGAGCCACTAGTCTCCAGGAAAATGAGCCAGCTTTACTTATGGAACCATGACTTCCACATGCTAGCTCTTCCTTAAGTGAGTTTTGTAGAGGGTAGGGATGTAGAGTACTTGCCTAGTATGCATGAGGTTTCTGAGTTCGATCCCTAGCACTGCCAAAAAAAAAAAAAAAGGTTGGTGTGAGTGAAGCATTTTGTAGTATCACATGTTTGGTGTTTTTTGTTTGGCAGCATTGGGGTTTGAACTCTGGGCCTCATGCTTGCTAGGCAGGCAATAATGCATGTTTGGAAAACCCAAGGTTAAGAAAAGCATTTAAATAGCTGGTGATGTTCACTATCAACATCCAAGGGACAGTTTTCTGATTTACTAGACTACAGAAACCTTTTCCAAGAACCATGTCTCCTTGAAATATGATTCTACATGTCCTTCAGCAAACCTCCCCATCCCAGTGACTTTTAGCTACCACCTGCTGTCTTCTGTTCAGTGTATAGTTTCGTGGCACAACTATCCATCCTGTCATTTACCATTTGGTCATCATCTTGTGCCAAAATTTATCTCTTAAATATTTCTTAACCTTGCCTTATTATATGTGGCCTACTAAGTGGCATTCTAGCTGGTTTGCCTCCAATCTGTTACTAGACACCAGCATGATCTATTTTATCCTTCCTTTGCACAAACCCCTGGTTTTATGGGCTCAGGGGAGCCTGAAGAGGGCCAGTCACAACAGAGAGCATCATGGGGGAAGGGTGCTTACATGTACTGTCTCTCTTAAGTTCCAGATACTACTGTATGCATGGTATAATCCCCTACCTTCACAGAGTGAATAAATGAACCACATTTTAAAGATGGAAAACAAGCTCAGAGAGGTTTTTTCTTTTCCTTCGGTGATGGGGACTGAACTTGGGACTTAGTGCTCTACCACTGAGCTACATCCCCAGCTAAGCGGTTAACTTTGAATGGTTACCCAGTTAGTAAACAGTTATTGTGCTGGGATTTGAGCACAAGCTTTTCCTAATTGACAGGCAGGAAGCCAACCTCTATACCCCTCAAAAGAGGTACCTCTGAGCTCTGACTACAATATTTGGGATGAGCATCTTTGCAATATACAGTTGGCCCTCTGCATCCTTAGGTTCTTTGCATGTGGATTCAACCGAGACACAGAAAATTAAAAAAAAAAAAAATCCTGCACCTGTACCAAATGTATAGACTTTTTTGTTATTCTTGTGACTATTCCCTAAACAACATAGTAGTACTATGTAGCATTTACTTTAGAGATCAGAAGTAATATAGAGATAAAGTATATAAAAGGATGTGCATAGCTTATATGCAAATATTACATAATTTTATATAAAAAGACTTGAGCATCCAAGGAGTTTGTTCTCCATGGAGAAGGCAGTTGGGGAAGGGGGTGGTTTCCTGAAATCAATTCCCAATGGATACCGATAACCGCATTCTTAAAAATATTAGTTTTGTGGAACATTCTGTGGCCTACCTTTCTGAAGTTCAATTTGCTATGCTTTCCTTGTCTAAAATGAACTGTCTCTCTCAAGAGAGAATTGTAGTTGAAGTACCAGTCCTCTTTGTGGTCTTACACAGTGTCAGAAGTCCTTGAGGAAGAACCAGGGGCCTGAGCACTCCAGAGGTGTGTTATACAACGGATACCAACCCCCAAACTCAAAACAGACGATAATGCTCATGACTGCTCATGGATGTGTATTTTAATAAAAATAATTCTGTCAAAATACAACAGGAGTTTTTTCATCTCTCAAGTACAATTTTAATAGGATGTTTTGTGTTAGAATTCTCTTTCAACTCTCCCAAACCCACAAGTTTCATGCTATGCCAGGTATCAACTTGCATAACCAGTGTGCACAATGTGGAGGATGTCTGTTTCAGCTGTAGTTAATAATGGAGGAAAACCCTTTGCAAAGAGGTGGGCACTTGGGGCAGCCAGAAGCCACCATCTGGTGGCAGGGCCAGGTGCCCAGGACTGGCAGTCAAGTAGGGCTCTGGTATCCAGCTGCCACACAGTGTGCATACCTGAGTTGTGAGCAACCAAAGGAACTTTCAGTTCCAACAGTCCTCTGCCTCATCTTCTTTGTGCTTTCTTAAGGGCTAGGAAGGTGCTGGGTAGCCAGGCAGTACCCACTTCTTTGTCTCATGGTATCTCTGCTATGACAGCCTGTACCCAGCCACAGACCCATGTGAGTGGGGATTGGGAGTTCTGACTTTGAGTGGTCTGCCAGTTTCTGCTCTGGAAAGAGCAACTATCTGGTACCACAAGGGGACGATAAGTAGGGAAGGCTGCTCCCCCAAGGCTGGACAACCCAACAGAGCCAGGTCTTCCTCCTGTCCCCGTGGGTCAGGTCCAATCCTTCACCAGGGCTGTTCCCAGTTGCCTTCCTGACACAAGGCTCCTGGAAGCAGGCTGGTAGGACTGGGTATGCATAAGGGACTCCTCTAGCTGCAGGCAGGCCTAGACTATCAGCAAGACAACCAGATCAAGCAGCTTGGTTTTGCCCTCTCCATGGCTTGTGGGGCAAAGGCTTATGTCCCAAAGATGAGCTGTCCAACTGGGACAGAGAGCCCCTCTGGAGAGGAACAGAGTAAACAATTTGGACTCAGCTGACACAGTGAGATAAGGCACAGAAAATGGGGAGGTGGCATGAGAACTGAGTGCGAGCCAGGCAGACACCCAACCCCATGCAGCACACAGCTGTCCCAAGCCATCCTTAGGCCCTCTCTGTCACTCCAAACTCATGTCCAGGCACCCATCACCATCCCTGACACACCCTGAAGAAACCACTTGCTCAGACACTGCTGGAAGCCATGCCAACCTAACCCCTCACAGGGTTCATTTGTCAATCTGCTTTAGGACTAGACAGTATTGTCCTAACACAGAGGAATAAGGTTAGTCCTTATTTGCTTATAGCTACTAATTTGCTGTGTGACTTTGATCAAATCACTTAATCTCCTGGGCCTCTTTCCTTATTTGTAAAGGAAGAGGATTGTTGAAGATGTTCTCTGAACTCCACTGCAACTGCAAATGCCTCTGGCTTTAATTCCCAGTCCTGCTAGGTGACTTTTTTTCTTGGCAGTACTGGGGTTTGAACTCAGGGCATTGTCATTTGAGCCATGCTCCCTGCCCCTAGGCTGGCCATTTTAACAGTCTGATGTTTCCAACCTCTGAGTATGGAGTTTTGTATTCCCAGCCTTCCATA